TGGCCATGGAGACTTGTACTCCCCTGGGAGGGAAGTTTTCTTTGTGGGTTCAAGCAATGAAAGCACTACTGGCATTCACCCCACCTCCTTTTAATTGCTTTCCATGCCCATTGGGTCATAATCTGATCCCAGCTACATCTGGGAAAGTACAGAGCTGTTCCTTGGAAAAATGGAGCATATCCAAAGAGAGTAGTGCTGCTGGGATCAGGATCCAGCCACCTCCTCGCTGTGGTGTGGCTGGTGAGCCAGGCAGGGTTTGGCCCAGAGTCGTCAAGGCTGTCAGAGGGGCAGGGCAGGACGTGTGTACGTGTGTGTCTGATGGAGGGGGACTGGCACTGCTGGAATATGAATCCTGTGGTCCTACTCTGCTGTGGGGAAGGGAAAAGAGAAGGGCAAAAATCAAGGTGGGTGTGCAGGGAGGGCAGCAGTTGTCTCATCTGAGCCATTAGCCAGAATTTGAAATTGGACCTGTTACTTTTGAGGAATGTAGGGCAGTGGAGGAGAGATGTTGTGTGAATGTGCACGCGGCTCTTGCCTCAGTGTCCCAGGAAAATGCCAGAGCGTAGGATGGCAGGAGTAGTAATTACCCCACAGCTTCAGCTCCCCCACTGCACTCTTTGATCACTTATTACTTTTCTATTCCTTCTGCTTCTTGGTGTAATTGTTACAAAATCTCTCCGCTTTGGGAGGGGTCCAGGACTCCAGGGCCCAATTGCATCTGCCCTGATTCAGAAAGTGGGTCATGCTGCTTGGTCTGGGAAGAAGATACTCATCTTGCTTAGCATGATATTTATTAGGAGATAGGGAAGGGAATGCAACCGCGCTGTTGCCTAGAAAATTGCTCTGGGGGGATAGCAAAGGACTTGTGAGGGCAGAGCATGGAAAGTTCTTGCGCACCCAGTGCCTGCTGAAGCCGTGCCACGTTCCCTGTGCCTGTATCGCTGCTTCCCTCACCTTGGGACGTGGTGTGGATAGATGGCAGGGTGACAGTGGAACTGGGGACGAAGAAGGGATTTGTAGCTGCTCACTCAACAGCAGCCAGGCAGCAACAGGCTCTTTACCTTCCTTGGACTAGAGACTGGTGGGAGTGGAGGGAGAGGAAAACCAGCTCTGGTTTCTTCATTAAGATGTGCTGTTTTCACAGTCAACCAAACCTGGTTGGGGTTCAAGTGACCAGCACCCCCTCCAAATACATGACACAGTGCCCTGGAAGGCAAGAGCTCTGCTGAGAAGAGCAATTAGAAAACCTTGATCCAAAGCCTGGCGTGATTTACTCTGTGCTGTCTCTGTCACTAGAGGACAGACAGAAGGAAGCTCAGTGCAGTGGGCCAGTTGCTGCAGAGGGTCTCCCAGCAGGGACTGTGCCAGGACCGCCTGACTGGCAGGGGGTGGGAGGGCGCAGCTGATCCTGCCAGGCTGGCTGGGCCTGTGCCGCTGCTTGCTGTGAAATCACCCTCGGGATTATCCAAAGGAAGAACTGGCAACTCCAGTAACTTGGAGGGCCGGATCCTCAACTCGTTTAAATTGGCATGACTTCACTGAAGCCACCGAAACTGCACTGATTTTACACCAGGTGAGAGTCTGGTCCAGAATCTTCTGAAAGATGAAGACAAAGAGGGCAAGAAAAGTGGGTTTGATAGAGTCCACTTGTAATTCCTGGGGGCTCCTGGGTTGTCCTGAGTGGGTCAGCAGGTCATTTCCAAATGTCTTGGACAGCTTGGAAGGGCTCTGAATTCTTGTGGCCGTGGGAATACCAAAGCACAGCCTCCTCAGGAGGCATCTCTGCCTGACTGTGGAGAACTTGTTGGCAGGGTTTGGTGAGAGCATCCAGTGTCACCCTGCCAGTGTTTCCTGCTCTTGGCTTTCTAGTGGCAGCATGATGAGAGGGGTCGAGATAGAGTGAAGCCCCTCACCTGTTGATCTGGCCTGTTGTGAACCCTTGCCTGTTTCCATGAGTGCTCTAAACCTGGCCCACCTTTTCCTGTCCAGGAACACCACTCATCTCCCCTGCGGCGTGTGGTGCCGCTGGCAGAGGCAGACCGGCGGCTGTGGCTTCAGCCTCACACCGCTGCCACCACAAGTTTTAATTTCACCGAGCTTGTGGCATGGTGGGAGGAGAGTTCCCACTTCAGGGAAGCAGAGGAGCCAGTGTCCATGTCCCCAAAGATGGCTCCACAGGGTGACGTTAAGCACGTGCCTCCAGAAGTTGTTGGTTCCCGGTGTGTCAGGCCGGTTGTTTTCCCAGCTCTTCACCTCGTTCTTGGGTGGGGGTGTTACGGGATGTACATAAGAAGATGTGTTGTCCTGTGTTTCTAGAGGTTGTTTGCTGGAACAACAGGCTTTTGGGACCTGCAGGGATGCACAGAATTCCCTCCAGCCCCTGGCACACACTCACATCCGGGGTGGATCTGGATAGAGTTTTAGCAACTCCCAGTGAAGCAGCTCCAGGCCGGAAGTGAAGAAGGGATAAAATATCCAGCTGAAACTCCTGTAGGATGTAATTACCTGAACTGGAAGCTGGCCAGGACAGCAGGTATCACGCATCATCTGCTGGTGGTACCAGAAGCAGCCGGCGCTGTGGGAGGGGTGGTCAGGGCCGAGGAGTGACGTTGGTGCGAGGATGGCACCGCTCCCGGGAGGTGCCTCTGCGGGCACTCGGCATAACGGCTTTTGAAGTCACTTGGTGTTTGTTTCCATGGCTGTTCTGTGCACGTACCATGGTGCCTGTACAATGCTCTTGGGAAACTACAGCCCGTGGATGGATGGCCCTGTCCTGACGTTCGTTCAAATGCTCCCTACTTTTCCATTTAAAAGAAAAGAGGAAAAAAGCCTAAACAAAAAAAAAAAGAGGGGAAAAAAAACCCAAAACAAAACAAAGGAAATTGACTTCCCAAAAATTACACTAAGCTAACATTTGAGGCCTGGCACAAATCCATCACAGCCAGGAAACTCAGAATTAACCAGTGCACTCCCATGACTACCGGGAGGGGCTGCACTCTGACAGTGCAGGGCAAAGCTTTAGGACTTGGGGACTTGGGGATGAAAGTGCTCAGTGTGTCTCTGAAGTGCAGCAGAAGGTGTTTTCATGCACACCCGTGCGTGCACAAATGCAGCACTAGATGCTTTGTGCTTCAGGAGAGGGTTAACTGCAGGCTCCCGGTGCTCAGATCTGACAGGTGATACCAGCACCTGGCCAGGGCTCCCTCACCAGGACTTTCCCCGTGGGCTCTGTGTTGGTGATGCAGCAGGGACCTGCAGGCTGCTGCTGAGGAAGCTCGGGAATTTACACCTAACCCAGGTTGCAAGTGAGGACAAAGTTGACTCTTCATTCCCACTCGCACATGACGCAGCATCCCATAAATCAGTGTGAGTGACGGCCGTGGTTCAGCTCAGGTGAGAGGGGAAGGGAGGGGAGCGCAGGTCAGGGCGGGGGGCAGCGCTGGGCTGTGGGAGCAGCTCACAGGAAGAGGCTTCCAGCAGGAATTGTGGCTGGAGCGATGGGTCAGAGGTGGCCTGGGACTGCAGAGCGGGATGGAGGGAGCCTTGCAAAACACCTGCTGCTCGCCTTGGGCCAATGCTGTCGGTGCTGAGGGTTTGCCACGGCTCGTTCCACTCACCAGTTTGGGAAAAGAATGGAATCGGCTCCTGTACCTGTAGCTGCCGAGGCTGGAGCGGAGGGCGGGACAGAGGGCCGGCCGTGCCCCTGCTGTCCCTGCAGTGTCCCGCTGCCACCCTGCCTTTGCTGTGAATTCTCACACTTTGGGGTACTGCAGACAGCAGACTGCATGTCAGAGCATTGATGGTATCTCATTTCAGAGGCTGGGGGAGGTCGGGATGTGTTAAGGCTGAAAATATTTACAGGTTTTGAAGTTGAAACGCAAACAGGAAAAGCCCTTTAAAAAGTGAGTGTAGTGGATATTCAAAACAGGGATTGCCATGGAAACGCCACAATATTTGCTTAAATTGACACAAAGGTTGCTGGTTGCAGGGTTCTGACTTCTTTGGCTCCATTTTCTTTGGCCCGGCACCTATCACAAATTGATCTCAACAACCCTCTTTTGTTTCGCTTCTTTTATTTTTGTCTGATGGAAATTAAAAAAAACCACCACCACCAAAACCCTCCAGTCTACAAATCCTACCTCACAGAAGAGTCTGAAGCTTCTGAGCTTCTGTCAAAGGTTGGAGCTAGGACGTTTTTAAATTTTGTAAGTAAGGTAAAAGTTCTTGTTATTTAAATCTGTGCATTTATTCATTTCCTCCAATGCAGGAAATGGAAGGGAATTGTCTTAACTGTCTAGGGAGAGCGGGGAAAAGGGTGAGACCTATTGCAGAGGTAGCAGTGTGCATCCAAGGAGCACAGGACTTTTGCTGTCCAGCTCTTGGGCCAAAGTTTGAGAGATTTAGTTGTAATTCCCAATTCTGCCTCAAATTTGCCAAGTGACCTTTGACAAGTCACTTAATTACCGTGGGCCTCACTAAACTGGAAATAATAATTCTTCTTTGTCTCGTCTGGTTGCGTGTGTACCGCCTTTGGGGCAGGGGAGTGGGCTTTGGTGTGGGGGTGTCCCAGGCTGCCGGTGGAGCTCTGTGCTGTCAGATCCCCCAAGGCAGGGATGGCAGCCTGGGCTCACGTGGGCTCAGCTGCCTACGGGGGGAAGCTCTTTGCTGTAAGTGGCTTAGTACTGTAGGCTGCTTCTGCCTCTGATTGACCTGGATTTTTTTCTGGGGAAAGTTGGAGTGCGTGGCCCACTGGATGGTCACCGTGGTGGTTTGTACCTTGGTGTTGGAGCCGCGAGTGCAGAGCAGGACATGGGGCCGCGCCGTGTCCGTCGGGCCGGGCAGTGCCGGGCCCTGCTGGCCCGGGGTGTGTGACCGAGGGCTGAGGGCTGTGGGTGGCTGTGGCATCTCAGCCCGGTGTCACTGCCTGTGCTCGTGATTCACCTGGGCTCCGGGACTGCTCGGTAGGGAATATTCATTTCCTTTTGGAACTCTCCTCAGGGCAAAGAGACTTCACCAAGTGAAGGGAGGCCATCAAATTCACACTGTCTTCATCTGAGACCACCTCCAAAACAAAGAACCTGACTTCTCTCCTTGCTTTGTACACTGGAATGGACCTTGAAGCCTGTGACTTCTCAGTGCAAGGTACTGGCTTTTGTTCTGTGATCAAACTGCTCTGAAGTAGGACTGGAGTGAGTGATTTTGGCTCTCCAGAGCCTTCATTCCAGTTCCTGGGAAATATCTAGCCTATGAAGATGGAAGAGCCGCTGAAAGTCAGTGGTTTGGGTGGTAAATGCATGGTGGGGTGTTGGTTTGTCTTGAGCTGGCTTACAAATAGGACTGGGTTTACCCCTGCCCTCGCTGCCCATCTCTGCACAGACACCCAGCTGACACAGCAGAGCCCTGGTCTGAGCAGCTCCCTCTCTTCGCCTCCTTCTTCCTAATGAGCTGCTGTGCAGTATTAACAATTAGCTAAGTAGTTTGCATGGGAGTCCCCTGGGTAAGTATTGTGTGGGGACAGTTTCTGATTGACTTGTTTCACAAATGAAGAGTTTGAGGATGTCTGTGGTCACGGTGGGTAACTCCGAGAGGTTGAGGGGGTGGGACTCTGCGTTTCTAAAAGCTGTTTTACTTTCTTCACTGCTTGGCCGCCGTCACAGCTTCTCTGCAAATAAAGGTATGACACAACAGTGGGATAATATATTTCTTCTCAATGGATTGGGGATTTGGGAGGTACCTGGTGGCCCTGCCGTGCAGCTGCAGGCAGAAGGTGCTGAGGCTCCTCGCTGTGTCTGGGCTTTGTGTGACATTACATCTGCTCTGTAGGGTAGAGGTTTTGTCAGGGGGTGTTTCCATACTCTGCTGGCACCATTTAATGCCAATGATGCCTGAATGAAGATTAGCAACTGAAGTGCCTGAGGGGATTGTGTATCACCCTGTTCCTCTGTTTTTTGCTGCTGTGCCATAACTGGTACCTGGGCAAAGCGGTGTATCCAGAGCTGTTGTGAGTCACAGGTACAGCTGAGACCTGAGCTGGAAGGATCCAGTGGAGGGACTATATTGGCTTAGCAAGAGGGGAGATGAGAAAAGTCACAGGGCTAAGATGTTGGTCTGGGGCTCCAGCTCTCCCAGGCCATCCCTGGCTGTGTGTGGCATGGGGGAATTTATTTGTGTTCTGAGTGCCCTCCCTTAAGGAGCAACAGCCGTGATCCTCTAAGGCTCAGCAGGGCTTAGTTCTTGCCACGTGTTCAGAGCCTACAGACCTGAGTGCTTCCAGTAAACCTGCCAGTAAATGCAGTGTGCTTCAGGATGGGATAGGGGTGAACTCTGCCTTCCCACACCTTCCTAGTGCTGAAACTCCTCCAGGGTCTGGCATGCTTTATTTGGAAAGCCTGGTTTTGAACTGTTAATGTAGGGAACTCTGACTCTGTGTGAGCTGTTCTGTTGCCCGTGTCCCCTTTTAGAGCAGTGGCACGTGCCTTCCCAGGCCTCCAGAGGCAAGAGAGCTTCCCAAATTGGAGCTCTGCCCAAGGGAATGGGTAAAGGAACATGAAGAGCCTTGAGGTTTTACCAAATAAGATACAAATGCTCAAGTTTGACTGCAGCAGGTGAATTTTCTGCCAAATATCCTTATGTGCCTCTCCAGAGAGGGCCAACATCCAGGGGGAAAAACTCTGCTGGGGAAGCTGCCTCATAGGTTCTGGGTCAATTTTTCCATCAGAGGGAACTTTTCCTGTGACCCCTGTCACAGGTTTCTGCTGGTGTAGCTCCTGTTATTGAAAGCCCTGCATGTCCATCTGACCCGGACCTGGGATGAGCAGAACCCCCGAGACAAGAAGGTAAGAGGAGGAGACTGATAAATCAGGAATTCTTTAAGTTCTGAAGTGAACCTTAAGGTTCAGATTCTTGCAGATCAATTATCCTTTTCTGTGTTTGCCTTCTCCTCCCAGTACTGGGTGTCCTTCAGGGGCTGTTTCCTGAGGGACAGAAGCTCATTAGAGACAATAGAAATATTTCCCTGGACTCCAGCTGTGTTCTGAGGTCCCCCTAGTTCTACAAGCATCACTCCAGTGAAGGAGATGCATTTAGCCTTTCAGGCATGTGGCTTTGTGATCGCTCATGCTCTGGACTAGAAATCCCTGTGTTCCAGTCTTCAGCCCTGCAGCAAGTTGTATGGCTTCTACTTTCAAAACAAGCTCAATTTACTTTGGGCTACAGAGGCTGTTTGCACGTTCTCCAGAGCCCATCCCTAGGCTGTGATTGCTGTTTCACTCTGTTTATAAGCACAAGCTGGCTGTTTAGTCCTAGAGCTATAAGGGTTGGAGGGAGCTTTCTTGTTCAGTTGGTGAAGGGTAGCCTTTTATGCAGGGGAAAAAGCTAAAAAAAAAAAGGTGAGAAAGGGATTAGAAATATTTGCTTTGTCTGTGTTTAAATGTGCAAAATATTTCTCCCTATTTCGATGCTGAAGAAAAGCTAAATTTGGGGGTTAGCTTGGGCTGGTGGAGTTATTTTTGCTGGGGTCCTTGGGTTCACTGCATGGCACAGCTGTGAAGGGAGTGAGGTGGGAACGTTGCCTTCCAGAGAAGTGCAGCCGGGCCAGCCCAGCCAGCCCGAGCTGGGGAATATGAAACAGCCTTGCAAAATCCTTGTGGAAATTTACCCGCCTGTGTATGAAATCAGCTTGCCTGCCTTTGCCAGGAGGAGTTTAACTTGCCCATTAAAATATACATCTATTTATGTATTACTTGTTCTGTGAGAGAAAATTTTCCCAGGCAGTTACAAAACTCAGTCTAGACTGTAACGTGTGGCATCTGGTGGTAACACGCCATATACATATATCTGAATACAGTATCTCCTGTATCACCCTGCTGGGGAGTTACCAGCACGGATCTGCAGTGTAGAGAGGCCCTTCCGTTCGCCCGGGATAAACGCCTGGCCTGGTTCCTGCCTGCACTGGTCTGAGTGGGGCTCTGCCCTGCTCCTTCCATCCAGATAAAGCCAGGCAGGCATTTCCACGCTGCCTGTCCTGACCTGTGGCCCCACGGTCCATGTTGGCTGGAGGCAGGAGTTCCCGGGCAGGGCTCTTCCGGCAGGGCTGGGTTGAGGAGAGGGAAGATGTTAAAAGCCTGTCTGGGATAAGAGCAGGGTTGTCACATCCATCTGCTCAGGCCCTGACGAGCAGCTGATCCATATTGTTAACATATTGCCTGCCATATGGGCTAGCTCAGCTCTCCAGGAACGCTTGGGAGACCTGACCTCTAGTGTGACAAGATGTGAGCATGAAGGACGGGTTGACAACAGCCCTTGGGTCTCGGAGTGTGAAACCGTGTTCCAGCCACTTCCGCTGCCTTCCTTGCGCTCCCTCCCTGAGCCGTGCCGGCTCTGCCTGCCTCGCTCCCTCTCTCCTCTCTCGCTGAGGGTTTTTTCCTCCCTCCCCTGTTTTCCGCATCCCTGGTCTGCGCTGGATCAATGACCTTCACTCATAACCAGACTGGACAGTTCTGACTCCCTCCCCCGGGCCTTCGATCAGATGTTTGGTTGGCGGCTGTGGAAAGCTGAATGGGGGGAAGTCAAAGGAGGGGAGAGAGGATCATGTGCTTGGCAGCCCTTGTAGCTGTCCTTCCCATATCTGGTCTGGGAATGGGACTGCAGCCTGATCCACTAAGGTCCTTGGCACCTCCTACTCCCTTGGACAGATGCAGATGCTCACAGAACCTCGTGGTGGAGAGGGAAGTTCAGCAATGGGATCTGGGCAGGTTGAAAGAGCTCAGAAGGGCCCTGATGCCAGAGTTCGAGGAGGAAACACTTACAAGGCTCTTGAGAGATGTGGAATGATTTAGTTTCAAACTCAGAGTGGAGGAGGAGGAGAGGCTGGAAGAGATAGGACTGGTCCAGGCCTTCATGGGTTCAGACCTTGCTTCCTCTGCCACCTTCAGTCATTCTGACTTCATGGTGTCCTCAGTCTCCTGGAGCCCTGCTGACAGAGTTGGCCTTCTCCTTCCTAAGGCTTCTGTCTTTGCACTTGAACTTTATGGAGGTTAAATCCTGGTGCTATTAAACAAGCACCAATTTTGCTGTAAACCTCAGCAGAATCAGGATTTCAGCCTTAGCTCCTCAGAAGGGGATTGGGATGTTTCCCAATCTCTTTTACCCATCAACTCTGTCAGACCTGCAGGCATGACTTATTTGTCTTTTAGTCCCCCCAAGTAAGGGTTGCCTTTTCTTTAACATTCCTGTCCTGTAAAAGTCAATATCCTCAAAAAGCTGAGATTTTGCCCTGCTGCTCTTCATAAAAGTTTTAGACCAGTTGAGGTGCTTTTATCTCTCCTTCCTCATAGTCCTGCAATTGCACTGAGCATTAATAGTGTTTATTTGTAGAGAGGAGCCCACTGAGATATTGCAAAATAAAACACAGTGATGAGTCGTGGTTTATTTACTCAAGCTTCACTGATGTAACAAACCTGATTTTATGTTAATAATGACTCAGAAGCAGAGTTGGGAGGAGAAGCCAGATCTCCTGATTCCTTTAACCATCTGACAGTATTTCTTCCCATCCTTCCTAGATCCAACAGCAGTTCTCTCAGCTGGGACTCAGGCAGCAGTTCTGTGGCACCCCGATGAAAGACTGGCTGAAAGAAAATAATAATAGTGCTCTGCCAGTTTGCAGGGTTCCATTAAACATTTAGGAACTCGTTCAGCTCCGGTAGGCACTGTACTTGGGGCCGTCTGTCTGTCCCTCAGGCAGCTGTCCAGCCAGCAGGGACGCTGACCCGCGGAGTTCCTCAAGGAAAACCGGCTGGAAAGCACTTGGAGCAATCAGTGCTAAGTATGCACATGAGTGTTCGAGGGAAATGCATGTTCAAAATGCAGTTCTTAGAAATATGTTGATAAAAACAAAAAATGTGAGAAATGAACAAATAGTGTAAAGTGAATGGGGTCTGTTCTCTGATGTCTTCTGCTGGGGGCTCATTCCAGAGCTGGTGCTCAGCCCCTGGGCAGTGCTGGAGGTGAGCCTTATCTCACTACTTGAGCTGAATATGGGAAGGCTGTTTTAGCATATTGCCTCTGACAAATTATGTATTAATGCTGGGGCTTTTTTTTGTTATTACTGCAGTTATATATTAACCATTAAGAGCCACAGGTAA